CTGTGGCTGCCCCCTCCCTGGAAGTGTTCAAGGCCAGGCTGGATGGGGCTTTGAGCAGCCTGATCTAGTGGAAGGTGTCCCTGCCCATGGGAGTGGAGCTGGAACTAAATGATCTATCAGGTCCCTTCCAACGCAAACCATTCTATGGTTGTATGAATTTTCTTGCTTTAACCTAAATAATGAAGTTGATGACTTTCACTGCTTTCTATAACTGTGTGCAAAACCATACTGTATGATAACCAGAATATTCTCTTTGTAGAAGACTCATGAGTTTGCTCTGTGGTCAGCAGTATGCACTGGAAGGGCAGAAATATCCCTGTGATTTTAATACTCTCTGAGAGGAGGCTCATATTGCACTGAAGTATGAGGCAGATGCATTTAAAAACCAAAATGTAACTCTTGCAGCCTTTGATTTACTTATGCTGCTTCCAAACAATTAACCAAAAGCATTGGTTTTGTATTAACTGTCACTCAAGTCTGCAGCTTTTGATTTGCATCCTAGAACAGATCTACTTTTTCCATTTTTTTCATGGAAAAGCCAGTGTCAGTGCCATGGTTTTGGGGGTTGAAAGAGCATAGAAAAAATATATTGCCATGACATGAGAACCTCGTTATATACTTCTCACATTTAAGACTGAGTCAAACTGAGAGAAAGGGCTGGAGCATTCTTTAAAAGTAAATTTTTTTTACACCATGAGGGAAAATTCTTACTTTATTTTTCATTACAGTTCATTCTAAGAAAAACATCACTGGGTTATTTTCTTATTTGTTAGTTTGCCCCATCAACAAAACTGAAGTTATTGAATCTTCTAAAGATTGCTAAGGCTCCTGATGTAGAGGCCCAGCCTAAAAAGAGAACCATATAACGCTGAAAACCTAATGTCAGCATCAAATGAAAATTTGCATATATTTCAGATCTGTATCTGATTACTTTGTTAGTCCATGTGTTTAAGGAATTTGCAGCCTTTGACAGGCGTAGAAGGAAAATGGAGAAGCATGATTTCTAGATGGCTGAGCGAGAAGGGAGTGGTCTATAGAGCTGTAATCCCCAGGTATCTGCATATGGTTTTGCAACACTAAGAAATCTATTTCTGGGAAATGCTGATGCTGGAGAAAACTGCCGCCAAATGGTTAAGGCCTGTTTTCTTTCCTTTCATTGCATTTTTTCCTGTCTTTTTTCTCCCCAGGTAGCAGCTGCTGGAGGACATCTGAAATTTACAGTCTCCTATGACTTCACAGAAGAACAAGAGACAGTTCAATTGATGGTTCAATCTGATGTCATCATAGAGGTAAAGTGATTGTATTTTCAGCCACTAAAAAAAAAAGAAAGAAAATTGCCTGCTTCTTCAGATGTTCAGCGTGAAGCCTCCTGGTTGAGGACACAAAACAGCAGGGTGCATGTACTTGCAGCTAATTTGTAGTATCAGAAAATGGACACACTTTAGAGAACTAAACTCTGCAGTATCTCAAGGAGCCTCTGGCAATATTGCAGTAGCTTACAAAAATGTATTCTTCCTGTTCATCAGGAGGGATGAAGAAATAAAACAATTGTTAGTTCGAGGTAACACTTTCACATTCTTTCAGTGGACCTGTTCTTTTGCTGCTCGGCACTGTATGAATTTGCTTTTGCGGATGCAAAGCCATGACACTAGGTTTTAGCTGAATAACCTAAACTTTCTTTTGCACTGACTTTCAACTTTATCAGACAAGTCCATTTCAGGGTTATGAAAGGTGAATGTTATTCCTGACATTTATTATTCTTGTAAAATATATTATTCAGTAAAACCTGTACCCCAGCTGGCTTTTTCCTGACTTTTTTCATATTTAAATGTCTCTCTTTCATGGCCCTATCTAGGGAGATGACTTGAGAATCAGCACTCCAAAAGAGGGGATTCACCTGCAGCCTTCTGAAGAGCACACTGAAGAAATTGTATTGAAACCAGAATCTTTCTCTGTGCACGGCACTGATGTTCCAGTCAGCAGGAGGGAGTTCATGACTATCCTGGCAAATGTAAAGAGGATCCTCATAAGAGCCACATACAGCAATGGGATGAATGCCATCTACAGGTGAATGTGGGAGATGTGTCAATTTGCTGCAGGCAGCTTCTCAAAATACTTGTTTTCTGTCTTCAGAGAACTAAGCTGATGTAGTTTTAAACACACTAATTTATTATCATGAAATTCGTAGTATTCATTTACACTTTCAAACAGTCGTTAGTATTTTTTTCATTTTGGGTAAGCAGGAGGAGGAAAGGCAGCAGAAAGAAGCAGCCTTGTAAGAAAATGAAATCACATGGACTGTTCAGGCATGAATGACTGTTCTCTAAATACATTTATTTTCTGAACACTGTAATTCCCATGTATATGGTAAATCATGGAGTGCAGTAGTGATACGTTGAAGCAAGAGATGATATATTGCTTATATATTGGCTTCCCCATTTAATGAGCATACAGGGCCACATTAGCAGTGGACCAGTGAATAATATCCTAAGTGTCTAAGCTGGAAAAGTGTCTCGGGGGAAGTTTTCTGTGTTTTTAATCAGTACCACACACAGAACCGGCTAATCCTAAAGACTTTGCCTTGATTTATGTCAGGTTGCTGCCTGGACTGCTTAAAACCACTGATTTCATATGAACTCTTCTGACTCTTCTGATAAAATGAAAGACATGTTATAGGAGACGACACAGATGTTCTATGTCTGTGGCTGCACTGTAGTTGAACCTGTAAAGCTCATCGTGCATTTAAAATTTTCAGAAGTGCATGAGCAAATACTCCAGGTGGGCTAGAAGACAGCCTCTCTCTTGATACTGTATGATTGTACTCATATTTGTCTGTACAGTAATAGTTAGGTGGCATAAATAATATTTTTTTAAAGTGCAATGGAATTGATTATATAGTAGTTTTCTACTCACAAGGCATGAAACCTGAAATGTTCTCTAACCTACACATCACTTGATTCAGTGGCATAAGGCATTTTGGAATGGAAGGAACTGATAGTACGTTAGTGATTATTTGCTGAGAGCATAGATACAGTTTTTGCTACTGTGAAATTTCTGAAGCAATCCAACCATCATTTGAATAGTTAGGTAATTAAAATACATCCTAAATTGAAAGGCACTTTGTGTCAACAACATGCAGTGTTCTAATTCGAGCTTTGGCACTGTATATTTTTTCCTTGCAAAAAGAATTCACGTTTCTTGAATCTCTTTTTCTTTCTGTGGTTAATTACTATGTATTACCTCTCTGTAAATAAGTTTGTGAATCATAACTAGCTTGAGTTTGAGCCAAACTGTTTCCTAGTTTGCTCATTTGGTCATCAATCTCGCATCTCCATGCATCCAGTTAGAAAAGCTTTCATGGCCCATCACCTTCCCACCGTGGTGTTAGAGGAGAGTCAAACCACCAGGCCAGGGCTCACCTCTTATGCACTATGAGCAGAGCAAGAGAAGCTGTTAATCCACAATTTACAGCTGAGACTAGTGGGAGCTCAGTGAGTGCTATTCCTCCACTCCGTTCTCATTCTAAGAAAGAAAAAAAAAGAATTTTCCAAACTGAAGAAGTGCAGGAGCAATTTTTGGGTGAACAACAGTGGCTTTTAAGCTATGCTGTTTTAAAGGAGATATATTTGACTGCCTTTCTTTGGGCCAAAGGTCTTACTGAGTATTATGCGAAATGCGAACTTCAGCTATCAGTGGCTTACATACATCTGTGTACTGACATTTGCATTAGAATGAGAAGGGGAGCTTTCTTTCAAAAATCGCTTTGGCTAGGCAGTTAAAATCTGTGAAGAAAATGCATTGCTGGCCATGCACAGGTTCCATCTTACCTTTGCTGTGGAACAGTGGGGGTGGGACAGATCAAATCCCCTCTGTGTGACAACATAGAGCTTGGGTCAGCACACACATGTCGAACTATCACAGTCTCTAGCTCGTGCCTTGTAAGTGAGAAGTGGCAGACCTGTCAGTGGCATATTTGGAAGGCTACACATCACCACCTGCATCCCAAAGTACTGCTTTAGCCATTTGGCCATGCGTAGTGCCTCACTGTTTTGTAGTCTTGCTCATATTCAGCCTTTGGAACATTTTAGTGGTGTGTTATAGATCACTTTCTGAAAACATGTCTTCGAAATATTGTTCAAGAAGACCTCCGGCACAAATATTTAATATATGCTTTGCAGGTCAGTAGCCATCATCTTCTAGATGTAGTGACATTACAGTTAGGAAGGTTGGTCTCTTAAAGACAATGATTTAAAAGGCAATTAGGGCAAGGACCTGAAGTAATTTTGAAGAATACCTTTTTTTCTAGAAATGGTTTTATATTACGAGTATATCTCTAGCTGTCCCTATGATGTCTCTTAGCAGAGAAGAAAGCAATGGTTACTGTGTTACTGTGATTACCATCAGCATGTCTAGAAGTCTCTGAAAATAGATTGCTATAAAGTAAACCCATTTTATTGAGTGCTGTCAGGGTGCTTATTGCAAGCTAGTGTGACAGAACAGAGGATGTGAAATTCCAATCACAATTAAATGAATTGGATTTTTCATCTTTGATTTAACTGGAGGAATTGTAGTTTCACCTGTCAGGGTGGGATTTACTGGGCGGAATTAAATCTTCTCAGAACAGTGCGTGCTCCCACTCTCATGATGTAGCAACAACAGCATCTACTGTCATCCACTCAGCTTATGATCTGTTGTTGTAGGCATATTGTTGATTTTCAGGGTATGCCTCAGTACTGACTATTTTTTATATTCTCTTTGACTTTCACTCATGTTAAAACATACCAGGTGCAGCACTGTGCTGGTAACAATGAGGTCATGTAAAACAACTCTTTTCTCTGTATTCTGCCACTTTAGTACTGCGGGGAAAATGTCCAGATGTGATGAAGAGGACATTTGTTGTGATATCTCGGGCTGATTAAGGACTACTGTTGATGGGCTCCAAAGGAAGACATGCTTGCCAAAGAAATAGTGTAGAGCTAAGCCTTGGTAGATAAGTAGAGATGAACTAGAAGGTTTTTATTGCCTTTTAAACAGGTATGTGTGGTGGACAGATGGATATTCCTCTGAGAGAGCAAAGATGGTCTGGTAAAGAGACAGAAATATTACAGGGTTATTAGATCCTTCATGAATGACAACTTCTGCCTCAAAGCATCAGAAGCATCAGTAGAATTATGCAACGTACTAATTAGAAATTGCTATATTAAGCAGCCTGTTCATTTAAATACTGAAACTTTTCAAAATGGATAATGACACCACATGTGTAAGGATGTCCAAGGGTGCTCTTATAATCTGTGTTTGAGAAGAGGCCAGAATGGAGGCGTGGTACGATTAAGCAGATTTCTTGCAGTTGTGTAGAAAAAGACTTAACTCAATGGAGTTGTCTCCAGTTACCAAGAGCTTTATCTTAAAGATTACATTTTTTCAACCTTATTTAGTTTAACTTACTAGAAACTTTAGTTAATCATTAGCAATTTCAAGTAGTTACTAAACAATATTTATGCAGCGGTGAGTTTGACGCGAGCATGTTTCTGAGAATATTTTTTGGGTCATTTGAAGCTTAAAAAGTTGTTGTTGCTCTATGGCATGATTAGAAAGCTTCCTCAAGTGAGTGTGCTTTCATTTAGGTGATCAAGTAGGATAAAAAATGAGAACACAGAAATGCAGCAATCAATTTGAAAGTGATTATAGCTTCTGGGTTTAAATTGAGAAATAGGGCTACAAGGATGGTGAGGGGACTGGAGCATCTCCACTACGAGGAGAGGTTGAGGGAACTGGGCTTGTTCAGCCTGAAGAAGAGAAGGCTGCGAGGGGACCTTATAAATGCCTACAAATATCTGAAGGGTGGGTGTCAGGAGGATGGGGCCAAGCTCTTGTCAGTGGTGCCCAGTGACAGGACAAGGGGCAATGGGCACAAACTGAAGCACAGGAAGTTCCGTCTGAACATGAGGAAGAACTTCTTCCCTCTGAGGGTGACGGAGCACTGGAACAGGCTGCCCAGGGAACTTGACAGATCTTTCAAACTGTTTCAGTTAAGTGCATCTGTGATAGAAGAAACAGGACAGGATAAGACAGCTCTCTTTCTTCGTTTTGTTTAATATTGTTAGCTTGTGCTTCAAAGAAAGTTTAGTAGCACTGTTTCTTCAGTTGTAATATTCAGAGTGGCCACTGATGATAAATATTGTAGATACTCGGATGGGCATTGGAAGTTGTGGTGCTAAAAACAATGGATTGCTTGCAACCACATATAGAATCAGTGCTAGACACAAGGAGCAAGAGGGAAGGAAAGGCCAAGGGTTTTCTTCCATATGCAGAATTGGCTTCAAGACAAATGAGCGATGATTGGGTCAGTACTTTCATGTGCCTTATTTAGCTGATGTGATTCAGATGCCTGGCATAGCAGACAGGAAACTAGGCTGATACTGCCTGAAACGTCCCTTTCCCTTTTAATCTTGTTTGTTTTTAGAAGTCAACAGTTGCCTGCTGACAGTAACAGTCAGCTTAAATATTTGGTCTCGATGTCGAATCTTAAATTGTTCATGCATCTCCAGGATCCAGTGCCCCATTACTACCAGCATTATGTATTTTAATGAATGCAGAATGGCATTGAGGAATCAAAATTGCAACATCAAAATGGGAGAAAAAAAAAATCACTGCAGCTTTCCTCACTGAGTAACTGTTAATGCTAAAAATTGTTAAACACATTAAAATCCCATTTAGCAAATAGCAGAACGTAATGAAAATTGGAACAATTCAGTGAATACAAATGTGGGATAATACTGGACGGATTGTTTCTGTGTGTAAGTGCTTCTCTTTGTTCCAAGATCTGTGCTGAGAAGGAACTAGTTGTAATTCAAAGGCCTTTTACTAGCAATTTGTTTCTTCATTTACAGATTTTTCTCCTTAAATTATTAGATTTTTTACTGTTAAAGTCATCACTATTTGATATCTAATATCCTAGAAATTGGTTGTTATGGTAAGGAAAATTCAAAAGGATGATTGCAAAAAAAACATGCGGCGATGGAGCGAAGAGAAAATATTGAAAAGTGAGAGAGATCTTAGTGAAGATCTGGATAGGAACATGCATCCTTCTCTTAAAATAGTTTCAAGAACCTTTTACAGAGGTTCTAGTATCACCAAATTAGATTCAAGTTTCTAACTGCATAATCCGCAATGGTAGTCCCTCCAAAGTGCACTCAAATCCCCAGCGGTGGTAAAATTTCTGTTTTTCTGAAGCTTCCATCCTAATTTCAGAAACCTTCCTTTTTTTTCCACTCAATTTTATGTCTGTCTTATGAAGAGCAGTCGTAAAATTGAGTGGGAAAATATCCTGTTTTAACCTTTCCTTGAACCGCTGCAGTAACAACAAAATATTTTTCTTGGATGTTTTCTTATCCAAGTTCATCCAAATAATTTTCAGGATTTTTTGGCAGCCAAAAGATAAATGCCTTAGTATGGAGGAAAAAAAGGTTGGTTTACATTTTCCAAAGAAAATTGATAACTTTTTAACAAAATGCATGTCATGATAGAAAGGTATTTTCTGCTGAAAAAGACTTCAGAAGAAGCTTTTTCGGTAGCTCTAGTAATCAAACACTCTGTTAAGATTGCTGGTGGAAAATGGAAGTCGTTGAGCCTCTATAGTGCCTTAATGTTCATTCTGAATTCTCGTAAGAATTAAATACGCAAATCCGAATTTCCTTCCCCGAATGGATACTGTTGACGTAAACTACATCTATTTCGCATATTACCTGTAAGATTATCAAAAGACTTTGATGTCTCATCATACTTCCATGTTTTTTTAAATAAAAATCATGTTCAGGGTTTGTCTATGCAAACACAATGTCTAGCACATTTTAAGGATGATTGTGCATGGAACAGAAAATTGTCCAACTCTGTCTTCTCTGTCATTGGGGAAACCAAGGTATATGGTAGAAGATTTCCTTTTTTTCACGTACATATCTTTTTCTTTCTTACATGTAATACTTACGTCCTTCTGGACAAAGCTGAAATCTTTTTCAGAGGTCAAATCTCCAGAATAAAAGTGCCCTATGACCACTTAGCAATGTAATATTTTAGAAAGCTGAAGTAGAGGTTTATTTCGAAGACACTGCTTAGTGTCTAATTTACTGTATATGCAGCTGCAACACAAGTTGGCACGTGTGGCTTGCAGGCCAGGAATAGCCTTCCATCTACTGGTACAGTGCTGTGAGACTTTTTTAATCTATTTTTATCAAAGTGTGTCTGACCATAGCCTCTCTCACATGATGGACAAAAATAGTAACAAGCATACAAACATGTAGTTTAGGAAGAAATAGATGAATATGAAAACCTCCTTATTTTTAAACAGGAAAACATAAACAAGCCATTAAATGTCACTATATACTGTTTGTTGCATCCAGCTGCACATATACTTCCATCTAATTTGCTATTTTATCTGTTTTGTTCCTGTTACATCCAGACTAAGAAGTGTTAGTATTGAAGCTGCTGATCCCAGTTCAGCGGGGAGAAAGGTAGCACCTGCAGTGGAGTTATGTGACTGTCCCCCGGGGTATGATGGTACCTCATGTGAGGTGAGTATCATGATGCAGTCTGGATCGATTGTGCTAACACTGGGATAGCTGTAAGCAACCAGTGGTCCTGTGTTGGTGGAAGACAGTAAGAGAGCTGTCCATTCCTATTAGGAATTTAGTATAGCTTGTCCAGTTACCTTTACCTGTAGGTGGTGGTTCATTATGTTTGATAATATTTTAAATCTGAAGTTTTATAACTGTGGTGATTTCTAAGTTATGAAAATACATTTCTCTTAATAAAAAGAAAACGGAAGCAGTATTTGTACTGTTCAGCCAACTGATATTACAAATGCATGAATCTATCACAATTAGAAGGAAAATGGCAGTTATCTGTCCTGTGGACAGCAAAGCCGGATCAAATTATGAGTTAATGTGGTAGTTTCCTCTTGTGTTTTCCCAGGGCTTTGCCATTTGCTTTGGAGTCTTTGAGGATTGTGTGTGTGTTCTTGTGAGGATTGTTTTAATTTAGTCTGGTCCTGTTACAGATAATAACATGCACACATGCTCAGAAAATACCCACTTTCCTAAGAAATTCATTAGTTCACACAGAATGTGTTCATACAAGTATACATGTGATTAATTAGCTCATGTGGTCATAGCCTGGAGTAAATAGAAGCCAAAAAAAAATTCTTCAAAAGCTTTGCCTTTAAGGAAATAGTTTCAAACACCAAGATGCTCTGCTTCACAGAACTACAAACAGTATGCCATTTACACAGGCACTCTAGGCATTTGCTTGTCAACTCTCTTTTTCTTTAAAATCTTCCATGCTTGTATGTGATACTTAGGGCTTAGAGTCTAGTTTCATGCCAAATGTGGTTGCTTGTTGCTGGGGCTAGATAAACTAATGTAGAAAGAAGGCCTGAAGGAATTAATGGATATTCCTATCACTTCCAAAATGGTACAGACAGAAAAAAATACTGGAGAAGAATATTGCCTGCCTTGGCTGAGAAATAATTTTGAAGTCTGACCGTTGTCTGTCTGTTCGATTATTTGAAGAAAAAAGCTGGACAAAGTGTCATTGTGCTTCACACTTTTTTTTTACTTGTCTATTTTTCCTCTCAATTCAGATTTTGGTGTGATTTCCCAGAAAACAGTTGGAAAGGCCCTGACTGCAGTTGTTTCAATACCTACTTTTGTTGTAGAAGCTGAAGGACTTGGGTAGAATTCTTGCCTTGATGCTGCTCTGTCCAACGTTGTGTCCTTCAATGCTAAACTTTCTCTCCAATTCAAAACAATACCTGAAATTTGCTACATACTTAAGATCATATTCCACAATAGAAAGTACCTGTATAGATAGCTGCAAATTTAAAGTCTCTATGCACACTAGTGGGTGTGGACACTCTTTGATTCCTGCCCTGGCTGAGTGCTAACCACAGACCTATTGAACTAAACCATGTTGTAGTCCCTTCCTGTGTCTTCGTTTTCCTCCGAAGCATGAAGGCCAAGAAGATATGATAGACTTAGATATGAGCACACTTTTCCCGTGTCCCCTCACTGAATTTCAGAGCATTTTGGACAGCTCAGAAATGCCATGTGACAAAGCTGGCACATGTTGCAATAACAATGATAGAGCTAAGAGTTTTAGTTTCCATGCCTTTATTCACTGAATTAATTTCTTATGAGTCTTTTGTGTGCATACCATATGATATGCCTTGAACAGTTGTGCTTGATAGAAAAAAATGGGGAAATATATTGGTGTTCTAAGTAGATGTTCGTGCTTTTTGTAACATGGACAAGCAAGAAAATAAACAGGGATGTTTTAGATTTTCAGGCAAACCAGCAGTTGAGAAAGTATGTAAAGATAAAATGAAAATGTGGATTTTTTTAGACTACCATATTTGTTTCTTCTGAATACTTTTGGCCTTGTCCAACTCTTTGCTTCTTCCAGTTTCAGCCTAGCAGAGTTTCATTTTTACTGATTTTGTGCAGGTTTTCAGTTTCATTTTCTCCTCTTCATTTAATTTAATATGTGTTTGTTTCCCGCATAATGATATTGTGGTACATGGCATAGACACTTCAGCACTAAAAAACCACATTATTTTCTTATTTTCTTGCTGTGAATGTTTTGGCACAATCAATCTTCAGAAGACAACCAATCCATTTAAAATATGCTGTCTCTTGTGAGATTGTTCCATTACACAAATTTAGAAATAATTTTCCACAAGATTGCAGTCAAAGAAAATTGTTAGGTTTTTGCTAGTACATCAGAGAAATGAACACAGAATTGCATGAACGTAGGTAAAGCAGGTCAAATTTTAAATTTCAAATACCATTTGTGGTAGTTACTTTGCTCTGCTCACGTGAATCTTCTGGCCTTTATTTGTCAACATCTTAACATCTATTTGCTCTTCTCCACCAGATTTGTTCCCTTTCTGTCTACTCTTTTACTTCTACTGTGGAAGAAGTTGTGTTTAACTTGCATCATTATGATGGTCAAGAACTTTCCTGACTTTTGAATGTTACATTAGTCCTTTTATTAAGATCCCAATCCGCAATCTTCTAATTTAGTTCTGTTCTGAGCCTTGCTGTTGATATCCCATGTCTAAGCACTTAGAGTAAGCAACTTTTGGAGCCTTATCTTGTGCAATATCATGTATATCTGTGCATGAGATCATTCTTTCCAGAATCACTGAAAGAGGAAAAAGATTTATAGATCTATATAGAAACAGCTTAGGCAGTTGCACCTCGTGCAAAAAATAGGGCAAATACTTTTAATCTGTTTTTCGTTATTGGATTTTATAACTCTGAATTTTAGTTTTTAGTATTTATGGGTTTTGTTAGGAATGCATAACCAACAATGAAAAGAAGGAAAAATAAGGATAATGTCTTAGGTTTTGGAATGTGGTTTTAAAAGATAATTTCAATTCCTCTTCAAATTACTTTCATGTTATGCAGGAGTAAGACGAAAAGGGGCATCATCTTTCTTTTTATAAAGGAGAGTTTTCTTAATACCTTTTGGGGGAGTGTATGTGAAATGGAAGGGATTTTCTTTATGAAATTATACTTTTAGTATTGTATCACTGTAAAACTTTGTATTAGCCAGGTGCTTTTGAAGGTCAACAATCTGTCATGCACTTTTTATATTATGCAAAATCCTTGGATCACATGAGCAGTCTTATTGAGGAAAGATACGTTTGCAAAATCTATAAAGCCATTTGTCAGATATATAGTAAGGAAGATTGCTGCTTGACATCTTATTATGAAGATGTGGAATAGCTGAATTTTCGCTGATGAATCACAGTTGTACGATGTCACCTTTCCTAAGAAAAAACTGGCCATGCATTTAATAATGATCTGAATTTAACATTTAAAAAAATAAAAAATCAGAGAACTTTCTTAAAAGGAAATGACTATACTTTGTATTTAAGAAGCACAATTTGTAAATAAAAGGATGGCTTTGTTTGCAGTCTGTGCTTTACATCGGTGTAGCCTTTTGTAGGCTTCAAACAAGAAAGACCAAATGATATTTTAATTGCTCTTTGCACCTGAACTTCTCAGAAAAGGTTTTTGTTGTTTTGGAGTTTTCTTCCCTGCTTCTCTCTCCTTCAACATTTTGCCTTCTGGCTATTTTGCAGTCTGTACCTCTTGCTTTGATGCTGTCATATTTCAGGTCTTCATATCTCTGCTTTATTTTACCATTGAAGAATAATCAAGTTAGGGCTTCCTCTAATTTCACACTTGCCAATAAGGCTAACATCAGTGCAAAGCCATAGTACCAGGAAGAACAACTTTCTAGAAAAATGTAGGTATTTTTATTAATTTGGCAAGAATGACTTTGTGTGTGCAAGTATCAAATTCAACACTATTATAAAAATCTCATTCCTTTCTCTGTTCAAGGGAGTTTAACTTATTTTCTGATTTATCTTGGCAGTCTTGCTGGCCTCGACACAGGCGTGTGAATGGCACAATTTTTGGTGGAGTCTGTGCACCATGTACATGCTTTGGTCATGCAGAACTGTGTGATGATATCACAGGAGAATGCCTGGTAAGTGTCACTACAGTAAACTTTATGGATAGGGCCAACACCAATTCAATATACCTGTGCAATTGAATTAACAACCTCTGAGACCTGACATAGTCAATGAGAAAAAAGCCCGCAATTAACAGAAGACATCTTTATGTTGAACTGTTGCTGAAGTTAAGGATCACCTCATAGCAAGCTTCTACAGATAAATACAGGGAATTTTTTATTCACGTGAAATATGTGTTTTGAAATAGAATCAATTGAATAAGGCATGGCACGCAGAAAGCAGCAAATATATCAGTATTCTTCCATGCAAGATTTATCTCCCCCTCCCATCTGTCTCCTCCAGTATATTCAATTCGTAGTATGTAGCAGGTAACTTTGTAAATTCTGTTCTAGTACGACAAGAAGATATTGTTAGTGACTTCCTTCATCTTAAATTCCTAGTAAACCTTGAAGAAACACTTAATAAATTGTACTTTAAAAAAATAATAAAAGCATATGATTTTGGCTAAATCAACTTTTTTGCTTAACGGCTATGAAGACTTTATGTCATTATGTAGTAATTCAGCAATTAAATCTGTGATATAATCCATAGCAAGCCTACCAGCATACCACTATTTCCGACCCGTTCAGTAGCCTTTCGGAATGGGTGAATTTTGCTGAATAGACTGTTCTGATTAACTCAAGGGCATTTTTAGTTTTATATTGTCTGATGTGGCATGAAGCTTGAAACAACTTTTCTCATTTCATTAGCCTTGCAGAAACACAATTTGAACCAGTGCCAGTTTAGTGGGATATCATACTCTCATTTCCCTGCAGAATTTCAAGCTGACTCTGTATTGTGCATGTTTCTAAATGTTCCCTTTTATTTCCTTAAGAAATAACTGCTGGGAAAAATCAGGCTTTTTTTCAATGTAATTTGACACTTGGAATTATCACTGGTCTTCCTGTTTTGCCCAGACAAGATGTTTAATTGCATTGTAGTGCAAAACAAGATATGGTTAATATGGGGATCAGTGAATTTTTTAAACTGCTTTTTCATGAATAGAAGCTTAAAATTATTCTCAGTTTAATTATGCTGTAAGCCTTAAAGAAGGACTTAGGATGACAAAAATGTATGACATGACAACCATGTTTTGAATCCTTCACTTATATGCAATGAAATTGTTTATCACTAGGGTAACAGGGATTTATGTTTCTCGACAAAGATAAGATTTACTGCATTAATGAACATAGCATCCAGCTATGATGTCCATAACATCAGTGTGGGATAAAATTAATTAACAGAAAAGAAAGGGAGGGGAGAATCCTGTTTAAGGTATATCATAACCATTGACTATTTTGCTTAGGGGTACATAACATTGACTATTTTGCTTAGGGTACATACATAGCAAATTCTGAGGTTGCTTGTGCCTGTGTCTTCAAATTTTAGCCCTTGCACAAGTTCTCATTTTATTTTTGTTTGTAGCACCATCCTGGATGTCAGAGAAGGCAGTAAAGTTACATACTGTAGTGCTTTTGCACTTTTCAGCTGTGAACTATTGACTGAGACAGTAGAGCTCCCTCTTCTGATGTTTCAAGGGTGCTGGTGTAAAGACAACACAGCACTGACAAGGAAGTGGAAAATAACCAGCTGAAAATATATTTTAATCTATATGCGTTATCAAGCATTCTGTATTTTATTTGTTCTGTCTGAGCTTATACTAGATCATGCTATAAAGAAGAGGTGCACAGGGAGCTTGAAATCAGTTCTGGATTTTCTTGCAGCTTACTTTGAAAACACTGTAAGTGAAGTTAGATTGGTTAGTATCCATGCAGGCTATTAAATGCTGCTATTCAATTTGGATCATAAGCCTTTTGAAGTGAAAGAGAGAGAAGTCTGAATGCTGAAAAAGAGAAATGTTTCACATCAAAGACATTCTTTCTATTGAGGTTTACACAGCCTTTTGCCCTCCTTATTATTATTCATGGTGTTTTTTCAGTTATACAACAGACAATTTAGGCACCTAATTTACTGATATGATACTTATTTTTGCGCTTCCTTAGCTTTGAAATGTAGTTGAAAAGCAGCTGAAATATGTTTTGACTTGTGATAAAAGCTCAAATCATCTGCTTGAAGATAGGCCTATATAAAAAGCTCATTTTAACGCATATCTTGCGGGTAACCTGCAAAGCCCTTTGATCCCCACAGCAACCATATGGAGAGGTGCATGATACATCATTCTTGTTACCATTGTGATATACATAACTGCTTTGGTACATAGGGCAAGTTCTAACATTCAGAAATACTCTTTTGTATTGTTATACACATACATTTACGTACATTAGGAGGTTGGTTAATCCTAAACCTTATGAATAGCAAACACATTTCAAGGTGTTTCATTCATTGCAGGGTACTATGTTCCCATTAATAAGCCCAGAGAAATCAGATCTTTCTCCCCTGAGATACTATCAAATTGCTAAATGGGCAGTCCCCAATGGCACCCATTTTGTATTTTATTCCTTTGTGTGTAAACAGCATATACCAAGTATGTTGAGACCAGCTTCAGAGCTAATGGATGTCTGCTTTAGACAGTGTTCATCACAGGAGAGACAAAATGTCTTCACCCATCTTCATGTCCACAGAAACAAAATGATAGATCCTAAGCTAAATACAATATAAGTTATAGTACAGGTGAAAATTATGTAAAGCCTCTGCAACATCGTGATTGCATTCGTAACACCAGAAAAGGGAGTTGTCCATTTAATCTTGACATTACAGTACTTTTAAAAATGCCAGAAGAGCATATTCATGCTTCAAAAGACATAATACCATTGTCTGGTCTAGACGGCCAGGCAACATACTAAAATAGGCACCCAGGCTTGCCCTTTTGCTTTCTTTAACTAGCTTAAACTAGCAGTTTCCCTGGTTGTCTCTGTGACAGATATGCTGAGAATGGGCAGCAGCGTGCCAAAGGCACTATCTTGGACTCAGTCATACTCCCTGATTAAAGTTTTATTTTCATCACTAGCCTTCTATTCAGACTGTTTCTTTCTGTATTCATATACACTCAGCTGCATATGCAGCTAAGCAGGAGTATTTTTCTGTGTCCCCTGGTACTGGGCATAAAAATGTTCATTTGGTTTCTTCCAAGGGGGGAAAAACTGGCTTGGTAGGAAATGGTGGAAAACACACTCCAGGACATCAGCAATAAAGTCTTTGGGCAACAAGGTCTGAGTCATATATAAAATTTTGGACAAAAATAAGTTCCACTATCTTGCTTACTCAGAGGTTCTCAAAGTGAAGTTTAATGGTGTTTGGAGATAAAAGTGGTAAAGAAAATTGATGCATTCAAAATAGTTTGAGATCCAGTACCTGGAGTTTGAAAGCATAAAGATTTGGTATAAAATCATTCCTGGCCACTAAGTATATGGATCTACAGAACAAGGCATTGATTTTACCAAAACCGCTAGATCAATGTGTTGGAACAAACTATATTTCCAAGGGAATAAAAAGAAAGTGCATATAATGTACTGAGCAGGTTAGGAATAGTCGATCATGATCTTCTTTATATTCAGTCTTGTGACACAAAAAAGTAATTAAATGTTCCTACGAACAAGAGATTAAGACTTCACAGGCTTAAGCATGTTTTAAGGAAATAATGTCAGTATAAGTAGACATTGCTCAAACTATATGATGCTCAAAACCATTGTTGCACATTTGGCAAGTTTCAAACTGAGATTCAAGCAGAGGGTATCAAGAAAATACAAATTTTTCATGAGTATTGATTATATCTATAAGGGCCAATAACTCATCTACTTCAGTACTTAATCTATAAATTTGGCAAATTAATATAATATAATGCATCACTGAAGAGAACAGGAAAATTATGTCACATCTACGTACTACATAATCCTTGTTCATTGTCCTGCAAAACCCAGACTGGCTAAGGTAGAAGAGTATAGGACCACACAAGATCATTATTTCTCAGCTAAACTGTAACATATACACAGTGCAATGTATGCTCGGATTTTGGTGCTATATGTGTGGGGTTCTTTTTTTGTTTTTAAATGTATTGATTCATAGTGAGGGAGGAAGCAAATACAGAGATCTGGATTGAGAAGAATTAGACATAGTATGGGGAAGTGACTGACGTTAGAGTTTCAGAAAATAATTCACCAAAGAGAAGGTCAGCTCTTTGTAACATGAATTGTTTTCCTACAAAATGGAAGGTTTCAAGTTTTTTTACTTAAAAAAAGTAGAAGCAGCAAATACCACTCTGTAAGAGAAGTGTAGCTTTAAAATAATGTGTTAGCTCCTTTCACTTTAATAACATCCTTGACATATAAGCTGCTCATATTCTTCAAAAACATTAAGATATATCTGAGGATATTTAAAGCTCAACTTAACACAAAAGAAGAATCCATTATTTTTCAGAAAAAGTACAAATAATTTGACATGATGCCTTATAAAAGTTGAATTGCCAAGGATTTTTCTTTTGAAATATTTAAATTATTTTTGTCACATCTTCTTGTAAAAGCATATCTTTATGTTCCCAGCTACTTTTTCAGTATGGCCCGTAGATTCTTTTTGAATGACAGCATTTGAAGTAACTTTCAAATGGACTTCAATGACCTAATGAAGTAGAATTTAACCCAGCTGATGGTTCTAAAGCTATAACTTTATTTGACCAGGAGTCTAATAGTTAGTATTAGCTCACAATCTTCCAAATAAGTGAGAATATAATATTGTTACTAATGCCTTGATTTCAAAGATGTGCTGATTGTATACACAAGCAATAAGAATGCACCCTTTAAAACAGCAAACAGCATTTCTGGACACAGATGCTTTTGACTCCGGTGCACTTATGACTGAAAAGGGTATTGTGATTGTGCTTTTTCAGCTGCCCAAATGTATAGTACTGGCTGTGCAGAGCACAATGCAAACAAAAACTTTGTCCAAATCATTGCCATCCTGCAAAGTCATGAAGAAGTCAGTGTTTCTTAAAATAGTGCCATGTTCTTTATCCTTTATTGAGGATACATCGTGTCTTTCAGACAGTAAGGCTGTTAAATGTCAGTCAGTACCATATGCATTACTTATTAAAATGAGAAAACAATCTAAAAATTTTCTTAAAAAATCTTAAATTAAATCAAAAGTTTGGAAATACCTACACCTTTAAAAAAACCTAACCTCATGAGTTCTTAAGGAGCAGCTTGGATGAAACAGATTGTAGATTGGAGCTGGCCCACTGTCTGAATCAGATCAGAATGCACCCCATGAAATAAAATCTCTCTCATGGCTTTCATTTTGGCCTTTTCAGGCTGCCATATGCTTTTTCAGTCTATACCCAAGCACATCAATGTGGCATTTAAGAGCCAAAAACATTTCTCCTGCTTTCTCTGTTTTTACACTGTGAAAGGGCTACACTGGAGTATCATCTTGTGGGAAATAGCAGTGAAAGGAGTAGTGTGGTGTGCTAAAAATATAGCAAAAAAAAAAAAAAAGACAGAGTATAAGCCAGAAAACTAATTTGCTGAGCCTATCATGGATCCTGCCAAATTATGTAGAATTTCTAAATCCTATATGGTGAGGGGGAAGAAGAATAGAAGGGGTAATTACTCTTTAAATCTCAGTTCTTACAAGTCATCGTGGGAAGCCTATTCTCAGAGGACCAATTCCCATTCTGACAAAAGATCATTTAATTTGTGATCAGGCCAAAGGTAACATATAAAACTGCAGATCTAGTACTGACATTTTTACGTTGATGTTTCATATGCTCAGACAAACTGTCTCTTGTATCATGAAAGCCAGTCACACAGAGGAACACAAACTGTTGGATAGGGTCATATATACAGTACACTCATCCTTCTTTTTTACTCTTAAAATAGAGTCTGGATGCTATTCTGGCAAACAAGTATTAATTAAGTAATTCAGGCTTTGCTACTGTTCAGAAACATATTTAGTATACTGCTAGTCATATACCATGTAAAATGAGCTAATGCACTTAGACGTGAAATGTAGTAATTCATTTTCATAACTTATATAGTTTGGGCTATATTTCTGGGATCAACATCTGAAAACTGTTACAAAATATGGCCTGTTGCAAAACTGCAGTACTAAACCTGTTTTGTGATGCTCTGAAGGTTGCTTTTCTTTAAGCAAGATAAAACAATAATGCAGCTGTTATACAGTAGAAGGATAAAGGTCTGCAGTTAAATATTCTTTTTGTTTTACGTAGAGCAAAATGATACAAAAGAACACAAATACCTGACACTGATTGTGATAGCTAGCCTCTAGAACTGTTTCTCAACCAGCAGCAGAAAATTAGAATACATGTTGCAGACCGCTTACAATCCTGTTGAGAGGATGGGCTAGGTGAACGACCTTCAAAGACTTCCCATGTGTAAGTTCTCTAATTGTTAATTTGTACTTTTCATCTTCTGTTTAGGACTGCAAACACAACACAGGTGGTTCATATTGTGATAGATGTCTTCCTGGCTTCTATGGGGATCCTACTAAAGGGACTGCTGAAGACTGTCAGTTGTGTGCTTGCCCCCTAAATATACCTTCTAACAAGTAAGATGTATATTTATTGCATATTACACTTTTTCATTTAGTAAGTTGCATAACTTTTTAATCTATACTTTTGCATGTAGACTTGAGATTTTTTTGTTAGAATCAAGGAATATATTCTACAATCTAAACTTTTATTCTTTTTTTTACAATTGTACAGAGTGCTTAGCTTCACAGAGAGGCAAAGATCAAGACAAAAGCTAGATGAAACTAGGCTAGAAAAAATAACAGAATCTGGATGACTGCCCTTTGAATCAATAACTAGCATTTGCTTTTCTGCCCTTAAGAATAATTGTGTCTAGTTTTAAAGCTTAATTTACAGATTTGACATGTGGGGTTTTTTGATAATTGAATTTAAAATCAATTTCTGTTGATCAGATAAAATAGTGATTTCTTAGGCTTTTAATTTTCCTTTTCTTCCAGTCAACATTCAGTGACAACATTGATTTATTTGGAGTCTGAATTCAGCCTTAGATCTTACAAATGAAAATATATTGTTAGCATATCTCAGAATAATCAATGTAAATTTTTTTTATTAAATAAAAATAATAGCAAAAAATTAATCAAAACTCTGATTTAAGGACAAATATTTCCTTCATTACAAAAGCTTGTCTGCACTACTTGCTACCTACGATTTAACAGACCAAGTGACTTTGGACATGTTTTCATTGGTTTTGTTGCAGTCAGTATCTAGAAAATAATGGTATCACAATCATTTGACAGAATGTAGTTAAGAGAACTGTTCTGAATCTTGTCTGGTTAGCTTTTCTTGTGCATGTAAAAAAAAGGAAATTATGTGCATCAGTTTGAATTAGCACATTTGGTTTATGCCATTCAGTATGGCTTCAGGGAGAAGTAACGCTTGCCCGAATTCCAGGCACAAACTGGATGTGGCTGCCTTCTGAAAAGAATAACTGCTAGTCCATATAAGCATTTCAGAAGGATTGTAGGATTGTATTGGGAGACTGTAAACTATGCACAGAAGCTGCCCCTCCCCAGGCTCTTCACATGGCTTAAAGGTTTTAAGTGGCTATAGAGCTAATAAATCCACTGGAGTATTTATTTTTTCTCCCTTTAGCCCTGCATCTGCTATTTCACCCCATTTATCCCAAAACAGAAGTCAGATTCTGTCAATGAAATGCACTTTACAATTAAAGAGTTGTTCTCAAGTTATACAGGGCACAATGTGTGGCTGCCACCCGCACAGAGAGAGAGCTCTGCAAGGTATAAGCAAAGGGGAGAACATCACCTGAATGGCAGTGTGCCAACATAAGGCACAGATGAACCAGATTTTGCTCTTAAGTAGTTCAGGCTAATGCTGTTGCCTACAGTGGCATTGTGTCCTATTAAAGTTGCACTGATCAGGGCAGGAGTAACCTAAGCACTTATCAGCAGAAATTCTGGGGGACTGTAGAATGGGAACCCGCCTTCCTGTTATCACAGCTCTTCAGTTGGTTTTATTAGATATACGTGGGTTTACTATGTCTGCTGCTCAGGCATGATTCCTCTGATATCCTCATTGCTTTCACATACTTAGTATTTTCTTCATAGTTAATTAATTCTCTTTCTCTTCTTTGAGAACACTGTACTGACAAAGCAGGAAAAACACTATCACATTTGTATCTTGTGCAGATGTGCAACAAATCAAGTCAAATAGATGGAATTTAGGTTTTTATTGGCAAAATGCCTGGAGACCTCTATTACGTATTTGTCAGAGTTCTAGATGCTTTACTTTCCTTCTTTGAAACTGAACAAGAGAGTCCTCCTTTTAGCATTTAGTCTTCTTGATAAATATAGCTACAAAACAAACACAGAATATAAATGTTCTCGAACTGTGAAACTGTGGGTGTCCTGAACCCTACAAAGTTCAGCCCTGCGTTAGAATTGTGCAATGCCTTCCTGTTTCTAAAATGGACAAAATCAAAACTATGAACAACATCCTCAGGCTTTGTAGAACTCATTGTAAGGTTCAAGCTCTCAGCACTTCACAGTTCTAGACTAATTATTAAATTTGTTTATGAGCAAAAAATGTAGGCTGTTAAAGATTTTGTGTGTTACCTGTTAAAATACTCATTTTCCTTTCTTAGTTGGCAGTGAGTTTGGTATGCTAGGGATAATATATGTAAACAATTCAGATTCCTTCACATGAGAAATAAAGAAATTTCTGCCAAGCTTATGTCACTGTACAGGTGTAATATATGTCATGTTATTTCAGAATAACCTAACAAGTGGCTACTTTATGTATAAATGATTATAAATAGCTGTCTATAGATTTTAATTCCCGTAGCTTTTTATATCTAACATGGCATGATAGGGCATCTGTAAGTCTCTAAGCTTATTGCTACATTCCATACAGAATGTTGTTCATGTAATGGACCTCTGAGATACGTTTCTATAAAGAAATTAGTTTTGTCTTTTATAGCAGTGTCTTATTTCTTTATGGTGTTTCTAATGGTTCTTATCACTGTTTTCACAGCACCTGAGTCTCTTTCTTTGCAGTGCCACATAATGTGGAGGAGAACTGTTCTATCCATTTTAGAAATGTGGTGGTCATGGTGGTGTTCTATAGTTAACTTAAGCTGATTTAACTGCTGCTCATTTCCTCTCCTGTTGCCTAATGGCAGCAGTTTCCATATGCAATCGTAGAAGCCAATGATAAAACTGCCTTCTGAAGCACAACAGGGAGAAGTGACTTGCCATATGTCAGAAAAGAATGCTTGGCCAAATCAGGAAACTAAAATTAAGTTGTCTAAGCTTGTTTTCTAGATCCTGGGCTATATTTTCCTCTATTTGCGTGTATCTCCATAGTTGTACTTACATGATGCAAATGAGATCAATACCCATATTATAAATGGCATGTGTAACGCACACTTCTTCGTCTTAGCTCTTCTCATTAATGCATCACTCTTACAAACTGTTCTAACATTCGAAGTCTTTAAGGATTTTTGAATAAACTGATTTTTTTTTTACCTTAAAAATTATCAGGCGTACTACTAGATAATTCTTTCTACCAAATGTAGATGTCTGGGATAATTACTGCTTTTCTCCTGAAGCAGAAATAAATTTAATATGGGTAATGAAGACTTTGACAGGAATGTTTTGTCACTGGAAATGGGAGATAGAAGATGTCTCCCTCAGCCTGGGAAGGTCACAAGTAAACTCATAGTATGTGAACTAGGAATTCAAGTTGGTCTCAGAATTTTAATTTTTTCTTTGAGAATTAAATAAAATCACAAGCTTATTCCCAAGAGATGCTTTCTATAACATACTTGTAAGCCCTTAGGAAGCCCTGTCTCCCAACATAGACGTATCACATATATACCCATACTGTGTATTTATACTTGTCCCATGTCCTGACTGATATTAAGGTTGTTACCTTACGTGAAAACTGAAAAGAGTGATGATCAGGGATTAAGATTTTTTGAAGCTTGTTTTGACAGATCAATACACACTGTTCATTAGTATTTATCACTAGTGAATAATGAGATTCTAAATAATCAGGAAAGTAAGCTGATCTTTTCTCACTCTGCTATCACGTATTTTCTTTATAGTATGCAGATGGGAATTTCTCAATATATTAATGTTTAGTGTTGACATGTGGACTGACTATTAAATCAGAGAAGGGATCAAAGGATGCTAGGCCTAAGCTGAACCCTTAAAACATGGAAATTCTGCTAGTCATTATTATTGCTTAGTAATACTAAGTACTTTATTATTAATACCTTTAAAATTTATGCAGTTAAATTCAGAGCTCTTGATGGAACTGTGGTACAGTCAATGTTGTGCAATGCTATAATGAGCTGTGGTAGCATCTCCAAAAAGTTTCTCACGTAGCTCTTAGAAAGAGTGAGGTTGGGACTGACAAACAGGATTTTATTTAAAATAAGTCAGGTGCTGCTGATTAAATTGAATGATAATGTGTGCCTCAGTTGAAAATTGCTTTCATTGCTATTTAAAAATAGAATGAACAGTTATTGTTTCTTCGCCTGGTTCCTCGTGCATTCGTGAAACTATTACTAACTGAATGACAATTCAAAATAACACAGACATAATACTTATGGGAAAGAGGAAAACTCCAATACCTCTGTTTACTGGATCTGACCTTCCCACATTTTTGTTACTGATCTCTTATGTCGGGGGGATAACTTACCCTGTGACAGACAGGGTATTTATGAATGGAAATAATCTATAACAGAAACAGAATAAAGAGTAACTGAGGTCAGATCATAGGATGGATGGTTCCTGAGAAGTGGGGTCCAGTCACCAGCAGGTGATCACGTTACATGATCCTAATTATGCTTTTCTGTCTTTACTGTGCCTATTATTTTCCAGAAACTTTCATCATATATTCTGCTTTAGTTTATCCGAGGTCGGATTATGTCTGTTATTATTGTAGCAAGAACTTTTACCTTGAATATACCTTCCTTTTAATGTCTTTATTACAGCAATTATATTCCTTCTGAACTACTGTTTTCCTATGTTACAAAAGATTAGTTCAGTGTCTTCTTTTCAGATAGGTGGTTTGTTTATCTTTTGTGAGTAGTCATCCTGCTATGCACCTGCTCCCACTCTTTTTTTTTTTTTTAAGTTTTTCTATTTTTCTGTTTGGTTGACCAGAATTGTTTACCATTATTTAGATGAGTCCTCGTGCTTCTGTCATTCTGGAATGATTATTAGAGACAGAGACATACGAGCACTTCTGCTGTGCGTTGTCTTTTAGTGTGTCAGGAGGTTTCCTCACAAAAGTGTGTTAAGGGAGAAAAATTACAGAAAGCAAAATACTAAACAGTGGAAGAGCACAGTTCAGAGTTACACACGGACATCGAGAGCTGGAGCTTGCAAATGCCTATGGTATCCTTATTTATTAAAAAACTCAGCTAAAAATAATTAGAGCTTAGCAAAGAGATAAAGCTTTCTGTTCTGCAAGCTATTCTGAAACTCCAGCATGCCCGTCTGGCCTGCTGCTTGAGGTCATTGGCACTCGGTTTACTCAAATACACTCTCTGGGAAGCTGCACCAGAGATTTCCCCTTTTGGCCCTCCCCTTGCTTGTTCGCTGGGTTCCTTTCACAGACGATTATACACAAAGTTAACTGAGCTTTCAAAGCAGTTGTCCTTCAGAAAGATTTATTATAGGGGCCACATTATGGCATAGATTGTTTGCCAGGCGCCCGGGGGCACAAACAAACAGCTGTACATTCCTGCCTTTTTAATGGTATCCAGACCACTCGGTGGCAGGCTCAAGTCCCGTAATAACAGGCTATTGGGATGCTGCCATCCGTTACTCTATATTCAGTGTCGCAGAAATAGCAGAGTCATTCCAAATTCAATTTGCTGGAGTCAAACTTAAGCCCCATGTGCTAGACTAGAATCACTTTTCCTGGGCACTGTTCTGCAAATTAACGACTTCTGAAGTGAGAAGAGAGCTATGCAGCTAACTATCTTTTCTTTATGTTTCTTCCTTGCCCCTCTTCTTACCCAATATCAACAACACAGCTTTAGCCCAACATGCCATTTTGACCGAAGTCGTGGAGTAATATGCGATGAATGCCCAGCTGGGTACATGGGACCACGCTGTGAAAGGTAAGCAAGCACCATGCTTTTAACCAGATGAGGTCTGGAACAGAAGTATTGATCCTGTGGAACTGTTCTACCTTTTTATTACTTTTCCTTCTCATCCCCATTCCTGTGTTTTGAAACTTACTGAAGAAATTCCTGTGCATCTTCCTCTGATACTGCGTCTATACACTTGTGCTTGTTTTATTACTTTACCATAAAGTGCAGAGCTTCCGAGAAGCATTTGCTTAAAAGTAAGAGTCTTTTTTTAAAATGGTTCTTCTAGTTTTTCTGTCACTCTTCTGAGATTTTTATAATTATATTGTCTCTTTTTTCATTTGAATGTTTAGAGCATGGTGAATCAAATATGCAATAAATTACTGATTCCTCTTTTAGAAAAGTTAGTATGCAGTGAGATACAGCTCTTCTAAGAAGTTATTTGTTGATTTTTAATTATTTTTAAAAAGAATACTTTACATTTTTTCTGCTTCTAGTTTCCCATTGCAGTCTTTATTTAGCAAGTAGAACAAGCTAGGTTTTAATGACAAAAAAAGATAATTCTTCTTTGTCAAATACACGGAAAATCTCAATATGTATTTCCTGCACATATTAATACCTATACAAAAGACAAATTAAAAAAATGTGTCTAGTCTGTCTTCAGCTGTGACAGGTCTGAGTGACATGTTAGTACTGAGAGAGAATGTTCTCTCCCCTTCTTATACCCTGTTATTCTGAAAGGATTACATGGAGAATTTAAATGAAACGGAAGGTTGGTGTGAGTGCTGGTGCTAAGCTCCCGGGAACCCCTTTGCACAGGCGGTGACTCCGCAGTGACAAGGAATATCATCACTGTGTCTGCATGCCTTCGGTCCCTTGGGATTTCACATGGATGGAACTGCTTTTAAGAGCAGTTAGTGTGCCAGGGGACCTCTGCTCGTTGTTTGGAGGTCGTGATGAATCAGCATGGGCTTTGGCTCCAAGATTCCAGTCCCCTGTGGCCCTGCAAGTGACACCTTTTTAAGAGAGGCTGGGGGAGCCACATAACTGTCTAACACCTGGCTAGACAGTTATGGGGCAAGAAAATATGGCACTTCTGTTTCTTAGTAGGGTTTTGCCATTTGGCATTTCCGCGAGCTGCTTGCAGCATTTTCCAATGTAAACCCTAAAAAAAGGTAAGGCTTCTGAATGAAGACTTACAATATTCAGACAGGGATGAGGAAAAGTAGGAAAGAACCAAGAGAAAGATCCAACCAGAAAAGCAGGCACCTGACCATATGCTGTGAATTGCTCTCTAGTCCTGTCTTTCCAATTTACATTTACAACTACTTCCTTTTAAATCCCCTGTTGTGCTATATCTATCCTAAAGTGAGAGTGCAGGCTGTCACCTGTTTCCAACCATCATCACTGAGTCTGCTCCCGCTGCGTGCTATTTCTGCCTGTCTTTTCCTGTCTATCTTGGAAGTCATCACCTTCTTTCGGCTTGTGGGCTGTGAAGTTAATGACGGCAGGAATAAATCAGAAGAGCACTTCGGTGGCAGTTTGTCAATGCAGGGTCATTGACAGCTTCCATTAGCAACAAGTGCTATTTCTGAGTGGAGCACAGGCTGTGGATGGAGTAGGACAGGATCTGAATAAGCGGCAGGCTTGCATTTTAGCCTGATTTCCTAAGGAAATGAGGCTAGTGTGATCTTTTTGTGCATGTCTTTCTGGCTGCCCGCAAAGACATTTGAACTTGTAGGTCAATTTCAACCAAATTTGACAGAAGGGTAAGAGGTCTCAAAGGTAATCATTTTTCCTGAAGGTTTCGTGGAATGAAGTGGCTGAACAGAGGTGAATAGATCAGGACATGTCGTAACTAAGGGGGAGAACACTGTGTGAACTCACACCTGATTAAAAAGCAGAGAATACATGAGAGAGAGACAGAGAGCACAAGAGGGACAGAGAAAGATTATTAAATGGTCTGCCTGTAAGAAAACTTTCACAGGGCAAGAAAAAAGTGCTGCTGTAGCCTGAGGGATTACTCCCTGGTGAATAGCAATATCCTGCACCAAATAATCAGCCCTTAGCCTTGTAACCATGAGATATAAATCTATTGGAAATTAGGCAATTAATTCCAGTGCTCGTAGAACTATTTACTTTTAATTGTAACAAGTTGCTTGGAAATGCCCGCAGCTGTCAATAATAGTGAACAGGAGAAAGTGTGTTGCCTTTTGCTATTAATAGTGATTGTATAATTGCTAAAAGAGTCTACATGAAATTCTTTTTCATTTTAGCAACTGCAAAGTAACAAGTGATATGAACCACATGATTCATTAACTGAACAGTCCTAAATTATCATGAAGTACCAAATATCATGAAGTGACCATAGACAGTACTCTACTTATTTAGCCTCCAATATAATCCTCTACCCCTTAGGGAAATAAGATCTTTTCTTTATTTATATATGTATTTTTATACCTGAATTGTGTAATGTCAAAAAAATTGCTACTTCCCTCACTTGAACTTTTCAGGAAAATGTTGCCAAAATTGCTCGGTGTTCTTTGGGGTCTAACTCATAACACCATCAAAATAATTGCAGTTATAAACTGTGTTGGGATTTCCCACGTATCGGTAATTGTAGAGGAAGCCCAGCTTCCTTCTCCATTTAATCCTTTTCCCCAGCAAAATAGACATACGTTCTCCCTTTGCTCACTGCTAACTTTCCCAAGGGGTGTGAGGTAGGACAGACCCTCTCCAAACTCCATAGAAGGGGTGCATGAGAATGACAAAAAGCTGTCCCTTGAGCCCAGCACATTCACCAGAAGATGATATGCATTTTCCAACTACACAGTCTTGATATAGATAAAAGCACACAGTTTTAGGGGAAATAAAGAAAATGGATGAGAGTCTAACTTCTCCTGGAGCACTGCTTCATTTATGACAATGGTTCCAGTGACCTTTTCCTCCTAGAAGGAGAGATGAGAGGTCAGCGTAACTTAAGTGGGAGGAGAAGGGTGAGCTGTGTCATGTCTTTCCTTCCGTTCCCCCTCCTTGTTGTTGAGGTCTAGCCCAGAGTGTCACCAGTCACAGTCCCTTGTGAATCCCTTGGTTTCAACCTCCTGCTCCTTCTAGCCAGTAGAATCCTCCCACTAGCACCAGGAGTACAAGTCTGTATTGCAGTGCTAATGGGAGAAGGGTCAAACATACGGGACATTTGATACAACAACTGTGTTATGCAGGATTGCTTACAGCTTGCAAAGGTAGGCACTCTGACTTTAGAAAAATGCAAGATTTATAGTTGGTCGTACAACAATGACAGCTGTGTTGTGCACCCAAGTTAAGGTTTTTAGCTACATGTTCACAAGCCATTTCTCCACAGGGCTTGTACACAGGTTGAATGCACACTATTTTCAAAGCAACTGTAAAAATAGTATTTCCACACTTTAAAGTGTTTGGATTTGCAACCTAAATTAACTCTGTCTCAAGGGGTTTTATCCAGTAAATATAAAGAAATGTATAAAATAGGCCTGTGTTTGCAAGCACATGTGTATATACACAGCACCATACAGGCTGCTATGACAAAAATTAACTACGTTCCAGCCAGATCCAGTATTTATATAGTGGCCCTGTATTTGCCACCAGTTATGCCAAATAAAAGCAAACGGTGTCAGTCACAGACACACTTGCATTTGAGGGTGAAGGTGAGTATAGAGGAAGAAAAGAAAATATGGAAACAATCTTCCTTTGCTATTTTTACTCCTGTTTTTGTTTATTTTTTAATCTCAGAGGTGTTCTGTTGTACTTATCTAAATAAAGTAAGTACTGCTATGTATTTTGTGTAATACAAAAGTGTAATCTTCCACGCCACATACATTATTGGGGTTTTTTTGATATGAACCTTGCCAAACATGTAATGCTTTGAATCTGAGAAGAGTAGCTGAAGGAGAAATGTCCTTAGGGCAGTAAAGACGGAATTAGTGAGAGTGGATTTTTTTATCTTCCCCTGCAACTTCAGGAGAAGTGAGAGAAAAAGTGGAAGAGTTTACACGTAGATACGTGCACACAGTTTTCTTTTAAGCTTAACTGATTTACCCCTACTTTCAGGATCATCTTAAATCTGGATTCTAGATTATGTATGTGTATAAGTAGAACAGAGCTATGTGATGGTAGTGGGTTTTTCTAATATTAATTAGCAAAGTCTAAACTGATGAGAATACAAAGAGTTATCAAGGTCTCCTGCTATTAATAGAAGGAAATGATTAGCAGTGCATTTCTCACAAATCACTGGAGTATTTTTTCTGTGAACTGCTTGGTGAGTTTCTGCAAATGCGATCAGATACAGAACTAACCCCTACATGAGAGTGAAACAGGAAAGCTAATGCAGATTAAGTGAAATCAGATAGATTAGTAGTACCAAAAGATACAGATTTATGACAAATACGCCATTAGTCAGTGAGAAGGATCTCAGCAAAGCATGGATGAACTTCACACATCATCTGTTTTAGGTGAAATAACTGCATAAATTATTCAGTTATTCTTCGTCTTTGATAAAACATGACTATTAATTGTTACATGTATTAAGAGACATTCCTGGCCTTTGTAATGGAGAAATCATAGCTGAAAAAAAGCCAACTTGTTTTGATGAAAGTAAGCTAAAAATCAATCATTTGTGGTTGCTGAGATATCCTCCATCCAAGGAAAAAATATCCATTTATTTGCAGGGAAGACAAGGAGGTATGGTACTGGTTACATTTGTAACAGGTTCTGAAAATAAAATGCCTAAATTATTCTAATGACAAGATTTTGATATATTGTTGCTGTGAGGAGGTAATTGTAAGAAATGGCAATGCTAAAGGAGTAGAACACACTGGGCTAGATTGTGAAAATTTTACTCATGTTCTTGAGTGCTTACATAAAACAAAAGCACTGGTACACAAAACCCTTGATTGACCATAGCATCCAGTACTATTACAAAGCAGAGATTATATTTATGTACATTATAACTGCATTCAGACCGACTTTAAAACAGTAGGAAACATTAATTTGTGCAATGTGTTGTATGTACTTTCTGTTTTCTTTATACTAATTGCAGTTCATCTGAGATGCATGTGAATAACTTCATTAGCTGCTACTGGGAAGTTTTTCTTCTTTTTCTTCACTATCTACAAATTGCTGTTACTGTGAAGTGTAAGCAAAGGTAATGGAAAGGGAAAGCAGACCAGAATATAAATAGGAAATAGGCTGTGAGACAAGCAGAAATTTGCTTTAAATACACACTCATGGTAGGTCAGATTGACTAACCTGTTTTACATGATACTCACAGGAAAATGCCAGTGGGCAACGTGGAAAAGAAGGTGATATTTTTAAATATCTCTGTTAAAATATGAAAGGTATAGTACACGCCAGCATAGTTCCTGTGATAATGAGCAATCTTTATGTTACCTGCCTATATGCAGATATTAGCAATCCATTAATTAAACAAATCTGACTGTACAGTAGATCGGGGGAAGGCTAAGTCAGGGGAGGGTCTTGTTAGGTAAAAAATTTTATGTCTGTATTGCTTTCTAAACCTGTTTTGCTAAACTAAACAAGTTTTTAAGGTAGAGGGGAAAAAAATCATCAGGCTTGCTGGTAAATGAGTACAGAACATCTAGACATGATGTGCTGAAATAGAAAGCCTATCTAACATGGACCTGAATTCCTCTAGCGTGCCAATAGACAGTTTTCTTGTTATGCTTTGTCTCGTCTTCAGTGCCAGTGACAAGATTTTTCTCCCACTGAAATCTAATTACTAGCAGAGCTGGCAGGATTTCAGCTGGTACTGTATCTACAGTGTTGTTAAAAAGGCGAAGGAGGGAGAGAGAGAAAAGACGCTTAAGAAATACTTGAAAGAAGAGCAAACTATTTTTGATGATTAGTGAGGCAACAAAATGAAATATTTCTAATAAGACAATTATTTAAGGGTTGTAACTCGTGATGTCTTTTACCTTAGGTGTGCAGAAGGCTATTTTGGACAACCTCTAACACCCGGGGGATCATGCCAGCCATGCCAGTGCAATGACAACCTTGACTTCTCCATTCCTGGCAGCTGTGACAGCTTGTCTGGTGCTTGCCTGATATGTAAGCCAGGTACAACAGGCCAATATTGTGAGAGGTGTGCTGATGGATATTTTGGTGATGCTCTTGATGCAAGGAACTGTCAACGTAAGTCATGAACTTTTACTGCTCCTGACAGTATTGATCTATACCCTTCCTGAGAGGAAGACTGTGCCTCTGTGTATGTGAACAGGAGGATGATATGGTGTACTTACGCCTCTAATAATAGTAGTGGTTTACTTGCATGTGCATCTGGAAAGGGAGGCTTCAAAATAAATAGAAAGAAGAACCTATTCAAAAACTTCCCGCTGTAGTTGAAGCAGTAATGAAGCAGATATGGAAAAAACCTGGGAGAGCAGAGCATTACATGGATACAAAAGGTTATACTAAATGTCAGATCTACAAAAATACATACAAACAAATGAAAATGGAAATGATTCACTAAAAATGCTATAAGTCATCCAGGAAATCCCATTAACTAGTGAGATTGGTGCTGAAAGCAGGGAGTGATATTGCAGTTACTGCAGGGTCCAACTCTGGCAACACTTGTGACCTCCTTCTCACCTACATGACATCAGTCAGAGCTGGGAGGTCCTGCCTCTTACAGGGCAAGATTCTCCTGCCTCCTGCAAAGCAGCCTACAATCTCCTGGCAAATTTTCTAAGGTGCTCTGAAGGAAGATACCTGGCACTGCAGGAAGCTACCACTTCTCAGGTGAGTGGTGGCATGTTGTTTAAGTATCAGCAAAAAATGTTTGCAAAAAATTATGGAGAGCAGATGGAAGATTTGGTAGGAACAGGAGCTTTTGCTTCTGTAGGAGGCAGTGGCTCTTTCTGAGCCATTGCTGGCACAATTCAGAATGCAGCTATTAGGCAGAACAAGTGCTTTTAACTTAAAAACAGTATTCGCTTACCCTTCCGCCCCATACAGAGGAATGGAATACAACAGGTTATAAACTGTCATGAAAAAGCAGAGCGTTTTATTACACTGTCACAAGGATTTAATGCTTTTTGATTCACAGAATCACAGAATGGGAGGGGTTGGAAGGGACCTCGTGGATCATCTAGTCCAACCAAAGCTTATTCACTGTAATAAACTCCATTGAGTACAAAGGTGTTAAATCAGGATAAAATTATTCAAATAAAAGAGCTGGGCCATTTTCTGACTGCTTTGTGTGTAGGAACACAGGGACCACTTCTGCAGTATGAGTGGCAAGCACAGAAGCGTGAGCCACTGGCATCCGTTTCCAGGATTTGCTCTATTTTTGTCTTGCAGTTTGACGGTGAGAATACTAAGTTCTGCTGGCCCACCTAAGAGTGCATGCGAGCCAGTGAGATGCAGAACATCACCAGGTTTCTCAGCTAAGGCTAATAAACACTGATATATCTAAAATCATAGGTAACCATGAAGACATATACCTGTGTAAATACTTTCTGTATCTACTTTGTATAATGCTGGACAAAAGCTGGACAATCACATATACTCTCTGCATGAGTTAACAGTTCATGATGAATGGTATCATGAGTTAGGGTTTTAAGCATGTAATGTAATGTGAAAAGAAGAATATTTCAAAAATCATAGCTTCCTGCTACTGCTTGTCACCATTCCTGAGGCATCGATAAGACTGTTGCTTTGAACATTTCTACAGTATTGGCAGCTGCATGAGAAAGAGGTGTAATATGAGGACAGTTCAGAAAATGTACAATTAAAAAAAAGTATTAAATACATATTTAATGTAGAATTACAAGCTTTGCTTTTGTTGTTAGTATCACTGACAAGGAGAGCCCCCTAATGTATTCATAGCCTTCTGCTCACGGTTACCTTGTATTCATCTACTCTCCGTCTTTCACGTGGGTTTTCTTTTTTGCATATAATTTTTTATTTCCTTTGCAGACTTCCATGAAGTTTGCCCTGCAGCTACAATATCAGAGGGACTGTGCCTTTACTTTGTTGTTTTCAATTTCGTTCCTTATTAAAAAGCCAAATCCAAGAGTATTGCAACGCATGAATTTTGCTTTCAAATTATTGTTTGAAATGTTTCTTGCTTCTTTCTCAGTACAGTGCTGTTGTCATGTGCATTAACCATTTCAAATGACAGTACAACTTTATATCACTGTAGCATCTCAGAATTTCTTGGTGCATCTGTACAAAACCATAAATCTAAGAACAACGAGCAAATGTCCTGGGCTTATTTGATTTGATTCTAGTAGACTGGTTTTTGGTGCAAAACAGCACAGCGTGCTAAAGCAAATACCTGGAGGTTATGCTAATGGTAGTAGAGCTCAATGACATGAGATGAATTAAAGCAAATATTCAAGTGTGCCCATGTGCCAGTGCATAGGTACTACTGTTGGAGGACAAGAAGTGTGTAGATTGATTATAAATGCACACTCAGAAATATTTATACAAATCTAGAGAGAATGAAGGGTCTTGACCACTGTCATTTTGGGAGAAAGTAAGACACATTTCTCTGAGAAGCTGTATCGTATTGTAGCAACTATTTGGATGTTTGGACAATAGCTAATTTTCCTGGTAGAGATGAATGAATGGGAAGGCTTTAGGTGAGATAAATGCAATTTATCAGACTGAGTAATAGTTTATTAGATTAATGGCCCTGACTGTATGTTCATTTGTATGTATGTACTGCCAGAGCCAGAAAAACAATCAAAGTCTTGGCTTCCTAATTCTGCCTTACCACTGCATTGCACATAGTCAGCTTTGGCTCAGTTAAGAATACATGGTATGCCAATTGCAGTAATATGTAATATAAATAGGACAAACTCATCTGTTTATAAAATCAGTATAAATTTTCTTTTTGATTCTTGTGGTGTCATATGCCTGATAAGCAAAATGACTCATGTAAGACTGACTTTGGTTCTTGAGGCCTGTATAAAAAGGTCGGTGAAATACTGTTAATTTGCATTGAGAATTGTGGTTTCTTGGTCTCAGCTTTCGCATGATCTTTCACTGCTGACCGTTTTAATTAGAAAGGTGCTCAAAACATATACATGTGATACTTACAACAGTCAGCCTGCTGTAGGTGACCCTGCTTCGGCAGGAGGGGTGGACTAGATGACCCACAGAGGTCCCTTCCAACCCCTACTATTCTGTGATTCTGTGATTCTGTGATTCTGTGATTCTGTTTGGACAATAGCTAATTTTTCTGGTAGAGATGAATGAATGGGAAGGCTTTAGGTGAGATAAATGCAATTTATCAGACTGAGTAATAGTTTATTAGATTAATGGCCCTGACTGTATGTTCATTTGTATGTATGTACTGCCAGAGCCAGAAAAACAATCAAAGTCTTGGCTTCCTAATTCTGCCTTACCACTGCATTGCACATAGTCAGCTTTGGCTCAGTTAAGAATACATGGTATGCCAATTGCAGTAATATGTAATATAAATAGGACAAACTCATCTGTTTATAAAATCAGTATAAATTTTCTTTTTGATTCTTGTGGTGTCATATGCCTGATAAGCAAAATGACTCATGTAAGACTGACTTTGGTTCTTGAGGCCTGTATAAAAAGGTCGGTGAAATACTGTTAATTTGCATTGAGAATTGTGGTTTCTTGGTCTCAGCTTTCGCATGATCTTTCACTGCTGACCGTTTTAATTAGAAAGGTGCTCAAAACATATACATGTGATACTTACAACAGTGTACAGTTTGGAGCGTCAGCAGTTTTAAAACATGAATGTTATAGTAAAGAAGAGGGCTGTATACAGGATGAAACTGGTAAGTTATGGATTCAGTTAGCGTTGAAAAATGAGAGTAAATGGAAAAGAGAAGCAATGTTAATTCCAGTAGAAGTGTTTTTAAATGTTTACATTTTTAAAATATATGGCAAAACAGAAAGAAATCAGAACCTCTGAAGGTGTTACAAGACTGATATGAGAGCCCAACATATTTTTGCTACTTACTCCAGAATATGAGAAATTTTTGCAAACATTTAAGAAATAATGCCATGAACAGACTGGCAGGCTATAAAGTCACTTTCATTTAAAAGAAGCAATGTTTGCAGAATAGCTCAGAAGTAGGGAGAAAACCCCCCAAAATACTTTCGATTTACAATTTAAAATTGTAAATTATCAAGTCCAATAAAGTTATGAGGAAGCTCTGTTGTAATTGTCTATCTATAGGAAAAATATGACTGCTTTGTCTCAAATGGCACCTTGTGACATGCAAGTATGTGACCACCATGTGTTCACTGCTGGGACTCTTAAGTGATTGTTAAAATGAAGCTGTCAGGTTGAGAAAAAAACCCAATAAGCATGGACTGGAGCCCTCATTTACAGAGTAGATTGATAATCAGTATAGAGATGTGGATTCATTCCCCTCTGGGGAAAAAAAAGGAACATGCAGCAACCAGCTCACGCTGATGGAATTGGTGATGGTATGGTTATAGTCCCTGTGCCACCAGTCACATCCCTCCTCTTTACTGTGAGTGCTAAAGGGGTTTTTTTCTTAATTTCTGCATGCCGAAAGAATTGAGGTTGAAGAACATAGAGGGTGATAGAAAGCTTCCCCAACATTTCTGTTCTCCTAAAATATAAGAATTCAGAAGCCAGAAGCATTGTTATTTTCCTCAAGAAACAGCAGTTCCTTTTCATTGCCATTTTAAGTCCTTAAGAGAGTGTTATGATGACTCAGGCTGGTCAGTTGGGTTGCGTTTCCTCTGGGGACTGGGACGCTGTTGCTGAGACAGATCTTGGCGGGTCACGAGAGCAGATAATCCTTGGTCTGTTCCTTAGCTGTACTCCAGGGTGCTCCTGTGAGGAGGAGCCCTTGGGGGACCAAGGACGCTACTGCTGCTTTACTCAGACCTGCCTTCCTGGATTTGTCAGGGTGGCGAAAGCTGCGCCGTAAACATGTGGTTATTAAATTGATCCTCAGGAAACACATTAACAGCTTCTCCTCCTTCCTCTGCAGCCTGTCACTGCCACATCAATGGCTCCTTCTCAGAGATCTGTGACTCTCGGACAGGCCAGTGCTCATGTAAAGCCAACGTGATCGGGCGCCGGTGCGACATCTGCAAGGTGAGAGGCAAGGAACGGCATTTCCTTTCAGCTTGCTTCGCTGTTTGTCAAAACAGCATGTCGTTTGGTTTTGGATGGTTTTTCTTTTTTCTTCATTTTTCACATAAAGAACACATATGGGTTGTTCTCATATACAGAAAGGTAAAATGGCTTTTTAAAAAATGTTTTCTAGAACAAAACACAGAACATTGCATTTGCATGCAAAGACTAGATTTGAAGCCTCACTGTACCTATAAGCACATTTTTATATATGGTATAAACACTTGATATTCTGAATATTTGATATAAATAAATTAATTTTAAATATTACATATTTAGGAGATAATTCCTCTATGAAGAAAGTTTCAAAATATCTGGTAGCATCTGTTTTTCAAAGAAAGCCGGATGCTAGCTTACTTCTGCTGTGAATGTTCCGCTTTTGTGGTTTTTTTTCTTATAGTTTCTTCTTGTATTGTCCACATAGTGTATTCTTTTTTGGTGAAAGTGTCTTTTGCCTTGACGTTGTTTTGCTGTCTCAGAAATCACTGCGAAAAACAGCATTTCATAAACTTTCACAGAGTTGTCTTCAGACTGCTAAGGAATACGTTACAGCTGGCCGCACATTTCTATAGTTCAGCCTGAGGACTCGTGGACTAGGCCCGTGTCCTCAGAACACCTCCACATGTGTGTAATTTAAAGCACATAAATAATTCTGCAGAAATCACAAGGATCATTTTCACCATTTAAAACTGCATAATTTCTGAAGTGGTTTGATCGCACTCCATTTATAACACATTTTTTAAAGAGTCCGTTCGAAGAAAAATCATTGGTATCAATGGAATTTGCACAGATTGCATAACGTACACAGCAAATATCTCAAGCTTGTTAATACAGTGTTGGCAGTTGATTGGAATTAATCTTTGTTTACTACTGTGTTTACTACTATCTTTATTCCTGTACTCTTTCATGTGTTATAGTTTCATTATCTTCACTTTCTAACAGTGTTTACTTTTCATTCTTAAAGCCCAGCTACTTCTGGGCCCCAGAAAAGCTGTTTTGTATGCCCTGTGGCTGCAGTGCTTTAGGATCCGTGTCACTGCAATGCGATATGTCAGGACGGTGTATCTGCAAATCAGGATTCATGGGCAGACGCTGTGAAATCAGCAGACAGGTGCCTAAATTGAAAGAAAATGCACGGAGCAGTCAGCAGATCCGAGTCCCGCCTCGGAGATGGGGCATCAGCAGTGCCAGTGGGTGCCCACGGGGTGCTTACCGGCCTGCTACTCCGGTAATCAGAAACTGTGTGCATTGCATGGGCTGAAATCCTGTATTTGCTTGTGTTTGGTCCTCCCGCAGACTTTTTTCTTTTTTTATTTATTTATAATACGTGTGCTACAACATAAGACACTGTCAAGAAACACACAGACTCAGAAGGCAGGCAGCCTTTTAAGATACTTCCCCGCTTCTAGGGCTTCTCATAGTGCAAAGGACAATGCAGGCTGGAAGTCAAATACCAGAATAAGTGCAAAAGACGCACCATCAACAGCAGTATGCACAAAATGTATGG